CAACTAGCTGACCCGGCGAACTTTGTTCCGCCTTAATGGCAATAAATAACGGGATAAAAAGTATCCTATGTCCTTCTCCTGGCTCTAAACTACCTCCCTGGCAATTTTCAGCTAAATCGGTTCAGCCGTTCTTGAGTTATAAGTGGAGTAACTAACACGACTTTCTTTTATATAATAGATAATAGCTATGATCAGTATTTCAGGTGGAACATAAAATTGTCCGAAGAGCAGTAAGAAGAACAATAAGATAACATGTCCAGCATTGGGATCAGCGTGTTCCAATGCCTGCTGGGGATACAGTGCAATGACTTCACGATGATTGCTGCTGATCAAATGAATACGCAAAGCATCATCGTTCTCAAAGACGGTAAGATGACTTGTGTTACGAAGCCCAAAATTGGATTTTATTTTTAAGCATAGCTTTTAATTAAGGAACTTCAGTATTAAAAACAAACACAAGACCGATTTCATGACTGAAGCGCTGTTTTATAATACGAACCTATTAAGCAAACTAGCAACAATAGTCATATGATTTAAAACCGTTTTTCCTTTCTTTCCACTTAATTATTTTTTTATTTAGGTATTATGAAAACAAATAAAGTGTTACAATGGGTACTTCGTGACAAACGACATATTTGGAATTAATAATGATTATTTGCCGTATTTGAACAAGTAGTATGTTTTTAAATGAATTTATTTATTTTTTTATTTTTATTTGGTTTACCAGAAATTGTTACATTGATGCTTACACAGTATACATACAGCCATAGTGGTAATAACTTAATGCACAATTAATTTAAGGTAAACACCGCATGCAATATATTAGTAACATCAATTATAAATTTACTGAAATGATTGAAACTAGACCGGTAGACAATTATAAATTAAAAAGAAAAAAGAGTTACAAAAAACACTACTCACCGACAATGGTTTCTTCCAAGTGCTTTCGGAACTTTATGAGACTTGTGGCGTGAATATCAGTGGTACCTCCGTGAGAATTCAGAAGTCTGCTCAAACGGGGAACAAAGGAACTTGAGCCTAATACTGTGGAGCGAAAAGGTGGAACCAATGCAGGAATTTGGGTTCGGGGGGTTCTACGAGGAGCTCTAAAATTAAATTTATTTAGCAGCTGGGGGCAATCTATTTTATTATTGAATAATTTGTACAAGAAAGTAAGGTCCAATATAGTTCGACGTTTTTCCAAGGAGGTGTATTTAAAATGTATTAATCTGGATTTGTAAGAAGACCCTTTCCTACATTGGTTGGACGAGTGAGCGAGATGCCACAGATATCTTTTCTGGATTCGTTCTAACCTCAGGGAGTGACACGCGTAATGTGGTCGCCACACAACACTGCAGTATTCCACAATACTTAGGACCAAAGAATTGTACAACAATCTTTTTGTTTGCAACCTGCGAAAACCCCTACCTGTTCTAATTATGAATCCTAGCATGCGAGAAGCCTTTTTTGTGACAGATTCCAAATGTGGAACGAATGTTAGTTTTTTGTCAACTATCACGCCTAGGTCCCTAATATGGTCAACTTCTGTTACCATTGCACCCCCAATAGAATAGCTGGATTTTATAACATGGTGTTTTCTTGTAAATTTGACAAAAAAGCATTTATTGATATTTAGTTGCATCCTATTCGATTCGCACCACCGAGCTATACTACTTAGATCTTCCTGTAGCAGTACAGAGTCATTATGGGTTTTAATGATTCGTAATAATTTCAAATCATCTGCATATAAGTACGGGACAGAGTACGAGATACAGTCAACAATGTCGTTAATAAAAATATTAAATAAGATAGGCCCCAAGTTGGATCCTTGGGGAACTCCAGAGTTGATATCATGTTTCTCAGAGCTGTAACCATTAATGACCACGTAGAATTTACGGTTACTTAGATATGAGCTAAACCATCTCAATAGAGTTCCATTGAATCCAAAAAGTCCCATCTTTTCAAGCAATATATCATGAGGCACCTTATCAAAAGCTTTGCTCAGATCGGTATATATAACATCGATCTCTTGCTTGGCATCAATAGCTTCCGTGAGATTTTCAATGAAAGATACCAAATTCGTAGCGGTTGATCGTGATTTTACGAACCCATGTTGATTCTCCGTAATAAATGGTTTAACATGCTCTGAGATCAACGGACAAATTAAAATTTCAAAGACTTTCGACATTGTAGAGAGGATAGATATTGGTCTATAATTCATCACAGAGTTAGTGTCACCAGATTTAAAAACTGGGACTACTTTAGCCACTTTCCAGTCATCAGGGAAAACCCCACTTGATAAAGATGCATTGAATATGTAGCAAAGAGGCTCAGCAATATTAGAGGCGCAGCTTCTCAGGAAAGTAGGTGGAATGCCATCAGGGCCGGAGCCTTTATCTAAGTTAAGGGATTTTAAAACACGAGTTACAGCCTCAGGGTCAATGTGAATTCTGCTGAAGGACAGATTGTTATAGGCAGGCTTCTTCGGATATGGTGAGTTAGGCGACGTTGTATCCTTACAATAAACTTCGGCAAAACGACCTGCAAAGAGATTACATATACTTGGTCCATCACTTACAGTCGCAGACCCGTCCGTCATAGTGGTGGGGTAGGAACTGCAGCCGCCACGCTTGCTTTTAACAAAAGACCAGAAAGCTTTAGTACTTTTAGAAATCCTTTCTTCAATGTTATTAATATAATTGTTATAACATTCTGTAGCAAGTTTTTGACATCTTTTAGACAAAATACTTAATTCAATTCTATCCATTGGGTTACGATATTTTTTAAATCTTTTCATAATTACGCCCTTTTCACGAAGTCTACTAATTAAGCATTGGTTAAACCATGGTGGATATTTCCACTTGTTGGTCTTTCTTTTTTGAGGCACAAATTGTGTTATGGCGTCCCTGATTATGCTATAAAAATGAACAACTAACTGATTAATGTCATTAAATTGTGAAAATTGCTCGTCCCAATTAACCTTAGAGAGATAGTCATTGATTAAACGATAATCGGCTTGCTGATAATTAAGTGTGGCGAAGCTGCTATTGTATTGAAGCTGAGAAACCTCATCGAAACAAAAATCAACCTGAAGTGCAGGATGATAACGGTCTATTTTACATAAATTATCAAGTGACTCATTCACACTACAATTAACCATGTCGGTGAGCAGCAGATCCAATATTTTATCTTGAAAATTTGTAACTAAATTACACTGTTTTAAATTATTTTGAGACGCAAAATCTAATAAACTTTGACCTAGAACAGGTGCCTGATAATTTACATCGGAACCATTGACAAGTTTCCAATTGATGTTTCGTAAATTGAAATCACCCAGAATACAGGTATGTCCATCAAAACCTTCCAACACTGAACTGCAGTTGTTTAAAAAAGTATCTAACAATCTATGGCCCACAGGCGAGGGAAGGTATACTGCGCAGATGGCAATACGTTTTGCTGTGCCAGCAATGTCAATATCTATGATCACCCACAGATCCTCACATGTACTGTTCCAACAATTAACTGATCTAGCCTGAAATTTGTTAGACACTGCAATTAGTACACCTCCCCCCATACAATCTGTTTGAGTACCAGTAGGCTTCCTATCTCGTCTAAATACAGTGTATCTGTCATCGAACAACTCAGAACTTAAAATATTATTATTAAGCCAAGTCTCAGTAACAACAATTATATCAAAATTACACACGGCCAAGTTTTTATTAAAAATATTCGTTTTAGTTCTTAACCCTCGGGTGTTTTGGTAATACAATTTTAATGCGAATTTAACAAGAATTAAGTCCATTGCAAGATTATTATACAATAAATAAAAAGAAAGATCAAAACTACTGTAATGAATTTAAGGTCTGCAAATCCTTGACGATGATATAACCTGCACTCTCATTCTTCCTTAAGTAGATCTTTCCCCCTCTAACCCAGACAAATTTGAAACCCTTATCCCTTGCTGTTCTTCTTGCAGCGGCATGGAGTGCTTTGTTTGCCACTGAAAGATGCTCTGCGACATATATTGGCACTTTGTTTCCTGAAAATCCCAGGTGTAAGCTATTCAGTTTGTCGCTGGGATTTTTCTTGTTAAAATCTATACTAGCAGCCAAAAAAGCATCTCTCAGTTTTGAATCCCTAAATTCGGCCACTACAGATCTAGGCCGGGGACTATCTTGTTGTAATTTAGCTGTCCTGGTTATACGAACAATGTGCTCATCGGTAATTTCGCATTTAATTACATCTCCTATTTTTTTTACTAATGTCAACAAGTTTTCCGATTTCTTTTCTGGTAGACATTGTATTTCCACATTGTTGGAGCGGGAGCTTTGTTCTAATTGGTTCACACGGGACTGGAGACCTTGAATGGTAGACTGCATAGACGTGTTATTTTCCTCTAGTGTTTTGATCTTTTCCTGTGCTACCTTATGTTCCTTGCTTAGTAATTCAAAAGTTCCGTTCATGAACTCCATTGACTCCTTGATTTCCTTAAATTCATTCCTTATAGTTTTCATTTCAGCATCCAGAGCTTTACGCATATTACTGTTGATTTCCCTCGTAAATTCCGCCATTTCACTTTTAAGAACCTCGGTCATAATCGCACGTACATCATCTCGGGTTAAAGCGCCTGTCTCAGTACTAGTCGTTGGTGGCGACGACAGGGCTGGTCTCTTAGTGGAGCGAGCAGTAACTTTGGAGTTAAAGCGAACCGGTGTGTTGTCGCTCTTACCAGCTTTCGGAGCAGTACAGATACAAGTTGGGCAGACCCAATCTCTGCTTAGTTTTGACGCATCTATAGATAAGCAAGCTAGGTGATAAGCTCTCAAACATCGGGTACAAATGACATCATCATCGAATCCCTCCAAAAGAGCACAGCAGCCCCAAACTTTCTCATCGGCTTCGGACATATTTGTTATGGTAGGTACTTGAAGATCACAAAAAATAAAACAAGAAAAGTTGCTCGGCAATAAAGGCTCTCATACAAAAAATATCCGAGCAAAGTTATCAAGTAAGTGTCAATAGCACAGCACTAAATGCTCCGAGTACGATGCCTGAGAATTTCTCGCGAGAAGAAGGTCGTAAGCGCCGTGCAGCGGGCGTCGCTTACGCGTTCCAATTGAGAAGTTATGCCGGGGTACTTTTAACTCAAAAAATATTAATTCACTGAGTCTTCCACAAAAAACTGTTAATTAACACTGCTTAATGTTTGATTTTGTCCTCAAACTTTCACTCACAGTTCACAAACAGTACAAAGAGTTAGTTCGCATCGATAAATATCACCAATTCACAGTTTATCCGCGATATTTTATTTAAATTGTGCGACCGGCCCAACAACGATGCTACCGGGTCAACGTCAAACGAAAAAAACATTGTCATTGTGTCGTTTTCTCAAACTTCCGATAGGTACGTAATCTTTCGATCCTTGCTCTTTACTATTTTTACGGTCGTGCCATGCATTTTATCGTGATGTCATGACGTAGGCAATTTTGGAGCTTAGGAGAGCCTTGAGCCTGTCAAGAGAAAAATCCTAAAAAGCCTTCTACTAGACTAGCCAGCTCTACCATAGACCGCATATTGTTGAAATCAACAACGATAAACTTATAAAGAATAATTATTATCAAACCTATATTTTAAAGTAGCCTAGTACTTCCTTTTAGTTTACATTTCTATTTGTTTTTTATTCCACTTCAATATTTGATAGTTATCCAACTCAAGCACACCCAATTAGAAGCAAATATACCAGATTGTCGTAATTAGGACAAAAAATAGTAAAATAAATATTGTTAGATAACAACTTTCTACTAAACCCGATCTCGTTTTTCATTCAGCCTATTTGAAGATCTACTTATTTTTCAACATGTTTTTCTTTCCATAAACTATAGTTATCTATAACTATACCACAAAATCCAGGATATGTTTGTTCTATTGCGTGTATCTACTGCTGCACTCAGATTGAGTTGGGGGACTTTGTCTTCGGACTTCGGTTTGTCATGATGATTACATGTCTTAATTAAAATACTTTGTGTGCCGTATAATTAAGTTCTATCTTTTTTATCTTATCTATACTTATAATAATTCTCATACTGTCCAAGTCATGACGAGTTAGGTTGTAAGTTTAACCTACACGTTAACTGATAATTTCCATGAGGAAAGTCAACACGAGTGACATTGCGGTTGCGAGCAAGGTCACAGCCGCAGATTTAATGACTAGATTTCGACCTAGATCCATGCCACGTCATCATGGATCTCCGAGAAGTTCGCGTTTTGACTTGTCGTGCACTTTGGCTTCAAACCTTCGAGGAATATGAATAGGTACCTGAGTGAAATCAGTATTTTTCTCGAAAGTTATGATTTTAATGACTGTATAGGCAGTGTACTATTAAAAAAGATAAAACTTCCCTATTTTTTCTAATACAGAACTAACTCTACATTTCGCACTACGCACTTGATATCTGTCACACGAATCCTTCTTTCTTTTTCTGGGTGCCTTAAACTCATTAAGGCACGTATAAACAGGCTTCTTAAACAAGGGTCACATCTGCACCCTCTGGGTGAGATTGTTATCAAGAGCTAACCCATGATACATCAAAAATAAAATGCTGCCTGTTCTAAAGCCGCATTGATCCTTGGTGTATGGAACTTTAATGTGGAATAAGTTATCCTCCACAGACGAAAAGAAGCTCCACACCATATCCGACAGGCTGGTCATGGGCCTGAACGGCAGTACAGGGGACACGCTGCAGTTCTCCCAGTTTGTAGCCAAGAACGTCCACCTGTACAAGATGCGGAACGGGTACAAACTGGACACGGCGGCCGTGGTGCATTTCACCAGGAAGAATCTGGCTGATGCGCTGAAGAGTGGGGTGAATATTACTTTATTTTCTTCTTCATTATGTTAGGTACTTATAGTAATGGGGAATCAAACAAGACGTAATTGTCCCCTTTGATCTCGAACGAATTTTCATTTAAAAAAATGATGTTCAAAAAAAGTTAATCGAAAGTGGTTGGCCTTAAGGGTTTTTTCAGATCCAAAAATCTCTATCCAAAATTCATTAAAATCATTTCAGTGACGTACAAGTGAAAATGTCAAATTCACAAACAATCAGAGCTCTTTCATTTAAAATTTTAGTAGGCATAATTTGCAGTGCAGACATACAAATTACAGACGGCGTACCTACTTACTTATTTAGATACCTATCAACAAGAACATGAAAAGACACTTTGTCACTTTCTAAATCTGAATTTTTTGGCCATTGAGTTACTCTTATCCACTCGTTGAAACCTAATTGATAAACATAATTGATTTACTTTACGTTTCAGCATAAAAATCATCTTGATTCTTTTCCCATTAGATAAAATCATTTTCGTAAAAATAAAAAAAATATACGATTGTTACGATTTAAATTGTAACGTTACATAAATATTAATTCCCACGTCAATATACACTTTTGTAAACTGCTCGCGGCGGCTTCAGTAAATCATACGTACTTTCTTCGCGCCATTGTCGGCTGGTACTTTCATTTTTTGGATTATAAAATCGCTTAAAACAGGGTTAATTAGTTTCAAACGGTTTGCCTGAGTCAGAGCAGTCATTTACTATAATATTCCAGCGTTAATGCTATGTATTTTGTATAAATAACGATTACATGGATGCTGTTTTAAGGTCTAATTTTCTAAGAATTTAGAAATTGTACGCAACGTCTATTTAACTGAGATTTGTAAAAATGTTTACTGTTAGTACGTAAAGAGTGAGTAGTTGTTTAGGTGAGAAGGAATATGCAAGCTTAATGAGTAATTTTAGTATTTTATTTAGCTTCGTAGTACCTACGTACAGCTGTTTCAGCAGATTCTGAATGAAGTTTCATTCTCTATCAGCGGTCTTGCAATGAGATATCGCTCAATCTCACCCAAACGTACACTTATTGCAGAATGAACTGAATGCCTTTAATCTTGATAAATTAATGAATAGCCTATGTGCATTGTCAACAGTCGGCCGTTTGGTGTAGTGGTTCANTAGTTCGCATCGATAAATATCACCAATTCACAGTTTATCCGCGATATTTTATTTAAATTGTGCGACCGGTCCAACAACGATGCTACCGGGTCAACGTCGTCGTCGAAATGTCCTACAAGATTGCGTGTGGTATTTATATTGTGCTGCATTGTAGACACTTTTTATACAAAATAATTTCAGGAATAAGTACTGTTGTGACATGGTCCTGTATTATTCATTTTCTTGCTATTTTGTATTAAGCAAGCTTTTATTATGCTTTAAAATGGGTCACAATGCGACACGTGTACAGTTGTAAGAATTCAACGTTAGTACAATTAATTAATTCACATAAAAACTAATTCTGCGAATAATTGAACGGTCAACAACAAATGAGATATCTGATAGACAAAAAATTGTTTTGCTGTGAAAGCTCTTAAGCTTCAATTAATTAAAATTGAATTCTTAAATATGCGAACGTGCAGCGAGACAATTGAAATTGAGAAACGCGGGTCTCAACGCGACATTTTATAGGAGTATTTTAAAATCTTATATTGCAAACCGATATGGCAACAATTGGTTTCCAATAAAGCCTACTTTGTGTGAGATTTTTAAGGCAATGTTGTTCATCATCATCATTTCAGCCATAGGACGTCCACTGATGAACATACACCTCCCCCAACGATTTCCATAATGGACGGTTGGTAGCGGCTTGCATCTAGCGCCTTCCTACTACCTTTATGAGGTCGTCGGTCCACTGATTTATCTTCTTACCATAATACCGAATGGTTATGCAAACATCTGGCATATTTGCGTACGTGTGAGAACGACGGGCGAACTGAACGCGGTAATTTTGCATTCCTCGGGACACTATGTTAATTGGATTACCCTATTCTGGATGCAGCTCTGATTAGGATGAAATTAAGCATTATCCGAGTGTGCAATGCACTAATATTTGCATACCAAGTGCAAAGGTCGGCCACAATAAAATAGAAACGTAAAACGTTTACACGTAGACTCTACATGTACATACCCCTATCTGCCGTTTGGTTATAATCACACACGAGTGTAACGACATTTGTTCTGTATGTGCTGATGCAGACTTGTATTGTAATACTCGTAACAATCATGTGACAAAGTTTGAATAATCATGTAACCATTTAAACTGTGGTGATTGGTGTTCTAAGGTTGCCTAGCACTTTCCCTACGGGCCCTTGGAAACCAAAGTCGCCTTTCAATACGGGGTATTTTATCCTATAAAATTGTTTGCTCCACTTTACATCAAGATACACTCGGCATCAAATAAATCGCACCTCCCGCAACAAGCAGTTCTAGTTCTAACCTTCATTTCATTAAAGGAAAGGTTTTTATCCCAAAAATGTGTTTTTAGAAGGATCCAGAGTCACTTCTTCAAAAAATAGGTAGTTACGCTTAANTAGTTCGCATCGATAAATATCACCAATTCACAGTTTATCCGCGATATTTTATTTAAATTGTGCGACCGGTCCAACAACGATGCTACCGGGTCAACGTCATCTTGCAAATATCAATGATATATTACATCGTAGTTTTATTCAGATCCAAGACCAGAGATTGGTAAGGCAAATGTGGTTTTTAGCTAGATAACTACACAACGGAAAGGTGTTTTATGAAAAAATAAAACCGACTCCAAAAAACCTACACTAAAACGTAGAAAAATAATTACTAATNGGTCTGGGTGTTACTATGTATAATATAATATGTATGTATTTAAAAAAAAAAGTATATAAGTAGTATATCCGTTAAGCTAGCACCCATAACACAAGCATATTAATAGCTTACTTTGGGGCTAGATGGCGCTGTGTGAGATTGTCCAAAGATATTTATTATTATTATTTATTATTTATTATTGTGCATACACCACAGAATTTGAGTTGGAAGGGTGGGAATAATCCTGCAAAGTTATTAATCACTAGCGACCCGCCCCAGCTTCGCAAAGATGCAACGCTGATATGTATGCATGTTATAAACCTTCCTCTTGAACTATTAAAAAAACCGCATCAAAATCCGTTGCGTAGTTTAAAGATTTAAGCATACATTAGACAGACAGGAAAGCGACTTTATTTTATACTGTGTAAACATATCCTCAGAATCCATGCATGGTGAACATGCTGGTAGCCGGCTACGACGAGCACCTCGGAGGTATGCTGTACAGCCTGGACTTCTTAGCCGCCTGCGTCAAGGTGCCTTTCGCCTCACATGGCTGCGCGGGACTGTTCTGCCTCAGTATCTTGGACAGATACTACAAGCCCAGTGAGTTTCATGTGCCTCTTTATTTTAAGGATCCTTCATCATCATCATCATCATTATCATTATCATTTCTGCTATAGACGTCCACTGCTGAACATAGGCTTTCCCCAATGATTTCCATGTTGTCTGGCTGGTAGCGGTTTGTATCCAGTGCATTCCTGCTACCTTTATGAGATCGTCGGTTCCGTATGGGTGGATGTCCTTAAGGATCCATCCAAATAAAGAAACATTTATTTTAGACCAAAGGACGTCCAAAGCCACGACGTCCAAGTCCACAATCTCCACAACGACCGGTCCTGCGATGCCCGCATTCAGGTGATTCAAAATCAAAAATCAAAATCAAAAATATTTATTCAGTTTAGACCACAAGTGGCACTTATGAACGTCAATAGAAAATAATAAAAAAAGAAAAGGTAGCCCTTATGGGGCACTTTACATGTCTCCTTATCTTTTGGGCCCTACCAGCGCTTCGAGACAAACATATGGCAAGTGCTGAGAAGAAACGCCGGAACAAACTCAGTCACCACTTATTGCCAGGAATTATCTAACGGTAAGAATAGTCAAATTTAAGTACATCAAATATGTGCAGACTGAACTGACCACGCATCCTTGTCATCAATATAGTCTCGAACCTTGTAGTACCCTTTGGATTCGCGACCTTCACTGAGCCGTCGGTAGGTACATTACGTTTTCCGGCAAATGGAAACTCTACATAGACATGTTACCCCATATTATAGCGTGTGTCTTATTACGTATATGATGAAGAGGGCTATAATTATTTAAAATTAAAACAAATAAGTATGCTGCGTAACTTTAGCCATTAGGAAAAATTGGATAACCATTTTACCTTGTGAGAGATAAGATATGCAAATTAAATTTACCTCTTAATTAGCGCTTAAGTGTTGTGCGTTTTCACATTTAATTCTTTGGCACACACATTTACGGCTACGTTGATTTATATAAAAACGTTACGCTGCATTCAACGCGTCTGCAACCAGAAGCTACTTTGCACTGATTACGATCTTCAATCTTCTTTTAACAAGCAATACACGTGTATGTACTTAATATCAAGGCTGACAAGGACAGTGTTGATAGTATAAAATTTGTTCATCCATAGCCCAGAGGATTAGTGAGAGGTAGGGACAGTGAGAACTATCAACAACGACTTATGTACGAGTAGAGCATAAGATCAACAATCATTAAGGAAGATTAATCCTACATAATGACCTGATCCATGTAGGTTAGCATAGTCCACTCTCGCTCGGAGTCTATATCCCGTCATTTCAGGACGGAGTCAGTCCCACCATTCTGCCCTCCGGCAGAGATGACGATGCTCAAAGCATTTCCTCCGCAAGAAAGGGCCCAGCAAATGATTCTTATGCTACTGTTTATTCCTCAGCATTAACGGAGCAAGAAGCATACGAAGTCCTGAAGATGTGCGTCCGCGAGGTGCACCGGCGGCTGTTCCTCAACCTGCCCAACTTCTCCGTGAAGGTGGTCTCTTCCCACGGCGTCAAGAAGCTGCCGCCCATCAACCCTGCCACCTTCGTCATCAATAAGTGAAGTGACCTCTTCAGGTAACAAGTGTTCTTGACGTGCAAGTAGGTTTAATGGAACCAAAAAGAGTATAATCTCTTTCAATTTAACGACTTGGAAAAGGTGCTTCCCAGCACAGATAATTTTCTTCCTATAACTACATCTGCTACACTAGCTTGATGGAAATGATCGCAGAATACTTTTGGAGTGGACTGAACCAAAATATTAATTTTAATACATTATTACGTTATTTATTATTTTTTACATTTTACTTATGTTTTACCAGTAAATATTTTGAACGATTTATTTTTACAACTATTTTTTATACTATTTTATAATTGTTTATAAATATTGATAAAAATATACAAAGTAAATAATAACACTTTTTTTTTATTTGAGGTTGGAATGCGATTTGTTGTGATGGAATTAAAAATAACGGATTTACTAACGAAATGTATTTTAATATGTCCTCGACACACTTTTTATAATATCCAACCCGAGTACAGAAAACGTCACAGAGACCGGAAGTCTTAAATCTACCATAGACTATTAAACCAGGATACACCTCTTTTTTTTTTAAACAGTAGTGATTGCATTGGCTTGGCATTCAACACCCCCCCTCAATGTAATTACTACATTTAAAAAATTAAACAAAAATAACAATTTTTTGCTTCTCATAAACTTAAATTCTTAAATTTTCAACTTATATACTTATACTTCTTAAACTTATACTTGTTATACTTATCCTTGTTACACTTATACTTCTTATATTTTATTAATTACTTTAACTGAACTACACTGTATTATTTTCATTACTCTACATTATTAATTTTATACATTTATGCCACAGCTTTTAGTAAACTTTAAAATTAAATCCCTTCCTAATGGCTTAGTAAACAGGTCAGCAATTTGTTCCTCAGTTTTAATATATTCCAAACATATTTGTTTATTTTTAACTAACTCCTTAATATAGTGGTAGCGAATATCTATATGTTTTAATCTTTTCAAACTGTCTGTACTAGCAACTGTTATAGCAGACTGGTTATCACTATTGATGTGCCGTTCCCGAGAACGCTCTCTCAGCTGAGAATATTCTCGGGAGCGTTCCCGGGAGCGTTCTCCTAAGTGAGAAAGGTTGAGAATCATGTTTATCAAATGGAAATAAACAAACTTTCTTAAGTAAAATAGTATTAAATTAAGCCAACAGATAAGTGTATATTAAACAATACACTCTATTTGCAGTGAAAGGCTATATTCTCAGTGTTCCCGAGAAAATTCTCGGGAACTTTCTCGGCAATATTCTTTTCAACTGCACCTTTATTATATTTTATTTTTTTCGTCGTGAAATGTCGTTTTAATGATATGTAAGATGACAGAAATTTATTTTTATACGTAATTAAATAATGTAACTGTCCATTTTTTCGTTATTAACACGCTCTTATTAAGTCGTCGTGTATGTAACTAACTATGTAATGGAATCTTAGAATCTGAATTACACGCACTTTTAAGTATTGTATCATCATGAAACTTGGCAATTATATGTAGGTAGATTAAAAATGACAATACAATATTGTGGTACCAGCTGGTTTGATGATGGGACTGGAAGGTGGCCAAAAGAACTCCTAAACGAAACGGCGGAATCACATCGAGTTTGGGTTCATTGGATGTCTTTTCGAGATCTTTAAGTGCTAGATAATGTTCAGGGTCCTCCTAATGATGGAGTCAGAAGGTAGCCATAGGAACTCCTAAACGAAACGGCGGAAACTCATCGAGTTTGGGTTCGTTGGATTTGTCTTTTCGAGTACTTTAATGCTAGATGATGTCCAGGGTCCTTATGATTTTTGGCTTTTTAGTGCTGTTAGTAATTAAATGCGTGTTATTAGTTTTTTTTTTCATAAGTGCCACTTGTGGTCTAAACTGAATAAATATTTTTGATTTTGATTTTAAACTATTCTTATTTGACATTAAGGGCATATTTCACAATCGCTTAGTTAGGGCCTGTTTCGCCACTTCTGGATAAGTTGTGGATAGCTTGTCTGACGGATCATTTGACACATTTTTATAGAAAACAAGTGCTAGCTAGATTGATCCGACACTAAGAAGAATGGTAATACTCCTCTTCAAAAAAGGTGACAAAACCTTGTTGAAGAATTATAGACCCATTTCGCTTCTGAGCCATGTCTACAAGCTGTTTTCGATAGTTATTACGAATTGTCACGCTAGCAGGCTCGACAACTTTCAGCCCCCCGAACAAGCCAGTCTCCGAAAATATTCTTATAATAATATACGCAACGGCAGATTATACGCAAGAAGAGAAGGAGTACAATCAGCCACTTTGCGTTTGTGAACTATGAGAAAGCCTTCGATTCGTTTGAAACATGGGCAGTGCTTCACAGTAGCGGCGTAAGGGGGGGGCGGTGGGGGCGGTCCGCCCCGGGTGCCAAGCATCAGGGGGTGACAAAAGTCGCGCAGATTAGTACTCACTGACGCATCTGCATGGCAAGGACGGTCGTGATGTCATGACAGGGGGGGTGCCATTCTGGGGTGCCTTAGGTTATAATTTATATTATGAGGGGGGGGGGTGCCGCCCCGGGTGCCAACCTAAGCTACGCCGCCACTGGTGCTTCAGTCTCTTCAATTGTGCCAAATTGACTATTGATACATTAAAGAGTTGAAAGGCTTGTACAAACACGCCACAGTGACAGTCCGTTTTAAGATCAGAACCCGAAACCTATACCTACCGGACCCTAACCAGTTGCAGCGAGGGGTGAGACAGGGAGACGTCATCACAACCGCCCTGGAAGATGTTTTCATGCTTCTGGGCTGGAGTTGATTCAGCATAAATATCAACGGCGAGTACATCACCCAGACATCAGACGATATCGTAGTCATGGCTGAGATTGTGGAAGATCTAGGCACAATGCTCGATGGCGTCAACAGAGTCTCTCAACAAGTGGGTCTCAAAATGAACATGGACAAGATTTAAAAATCATGTCTAAAGACCGTGTTGCACCCACTCCTCTATAAGTTGGAGGCTCTACACTCGAGGTTGTTGACAATAATGTATACCTGGGACAAACAGTCCAGTTAGGTAGGTCCAACTTCGAAAAAAAAGTCAATCATCGAATCCAGCTCGGCTGGGCAGCCTTTGGGAAGCTTTACGATATTGTCACGCGGTTTCTCCGTCGCGTCGCCACACCGCTTTAAATCCACTTTGAATACGCTTTGAATCCGCTTGCAATCCGCCAGGGTGGCAAGGGCCTTAAAACTCACAGGCACATTGATGTTCAAATACCGTAGCCGAGTCCTAAAGCCGCGGTACGCGTTGGCCACGAAAAGAGTGAGCAAGACAGCAATATCTCACTCACACGTTTCATGCCTTATTTATAACGACTAGTCTTAACGCCCAGTTAATAAAACATCGAAACATTACAGAAAATATCACATATAAACAACAAAATTAAAATGAAAACTAAATGCATTCTGTCGAGAACACTGAGAATATTCCCGGGAGCGTTCTCGGTTCTCGAGAATATTCTCACTGGGAATATTGCCGGGAACGAGAACTTTCTCAGCGGCACATCTCTAGTTATCACACAATNTTGACAAAATATACGTGTCTATAACTTGAGAAGTCGTCCTTCAAGACCACAAAGTATCTTGACCCTCCAACAGATGTTTCCTCCATGGGGCCACATGTATCCGCATGGATCAGTTCACAGGTTCTAGTGCTGACTGTTAGGATATAGAATTTTATCATGAGATGACATGTTGCTGGCAGGTTTTATTTTAAAAGTAAACAGCATTAGAATAAAGTTTGAAAATAATGACAGGTGTTGAAAAGCAAGAAAATGTGACATTGTGTCATTGTATTATTGAATTTCGATAGAGTCAGTTGTAAATGTTTTAATATTTAATATGTAATAGATTTTGATAATATTTTAATAATAAAGTGTGTGTGAGTATTGAAGTGGCGTTATTATGATTGAATAACCTCCCAGGAGTTGTGTGGAGAGGCACACTCCTCGAACAGGTTATGGGCCCAGCGTACGTATCCAGAGGGCTGTAAGAATTACCTATCTCTTGAATAAGGAGAATGAAAGTGAAAGATCTATCCTGATTTTGTTTTTGGAAAATTTTAAAACAACAATATGTCGGAAGAAAATTTTAAATTATCAACGTTATCAAAAGGAGAAGACTATACAAATTGGAAGAAGAAATTGATATTGTTATTGACAGCGAAAGATATAGATTGTGTTTTGGAAGATAATGCTGAGAGCAAAAAGGATTTTAATAGAAAAGATGCAAAAGCAAGATACATTATAATAAGCTCATTATGTGATAAATTTGTTGTATATGCATTGAATTGCAATACAACAAAAGAAATTTTACAAAAATTTGATACATTATTTCTAGGACATAAAGATACACAGATTTGTCAACTTTTGGAACAATTTTACAAATTCAAATTTTCAAATTCGGATTTGATGATTGACATAGCAGAAATTGAAAATCAAGCAATAAAATTAAGAAATTTGNACTGTTATTGTTCACCCTACATTCACTTTTGTAATGTCCAAGTTTGTTACACTTGTAACACTTCACGTTCTTCTTAGATTTAACCAGGAATGCCGACGAATTAGATGTAGTAACTTCTTCATTTTTCTCATTTATTCTTTCTTCCTCTATTAATAACCGAGCAACCAGATTGTCTACTGTTTGTTTTTCTTCAGGGGCTGACTCCCACGCCGAAACGAAGTGTTTGTACTCGTCAGGCAGCGACATCAGGATTTTTGTAATGGTGAACTTATCAGATACTGGCTCTCCCATCTGTTTCAATGTGTTTTGCATCTCCTGTATTTTAGAAAGGAAAACTGCCATTTCTGTACCTCTTTCAAATTTAAATTGAAAGAATCTCTGTTGCAATATATGTATACTTGTCTCCGACTTCTGCTCGTATACACTCATCAGCTTGGTCCACATTGCTGCGGATGTACTGCATGTTAAAATGTGCAGCATCGCCTTCTCGGTCATCCTGGACACTATTATCGACTGTGCTTTGGCGTCTTTGGCATCTGACTTAGCCCTGCCTTCCTCCGCGTCCGACCGTCCCTCAACGATGTCCATCAATCCTTGGCTTCTCAATAGCACCTGTGTCTGGAACTTCCACACGTTCCAATTGTTGGATCCTTCCAATCTAATAGAATTGTGATTCCCTTCCATTTCGTTATTGTTATCGTCCTATCTTGTCTGATCTTAACAAGATTTTTCACGACTTCACGTGCAAGCCGGCAACCTTCCGGCAACCCGTTACCGAAGCGAGAAATACTAATACTATTGCGATCACTTTAACTTTCTCACTACACAGATATGTGCCTGGGCCCATAACCTGTTGTGATGGAATTAAAAATAACGGATTTACTAACGAAATGTATTTTAATATGTCCTCGACACACTTTTTATAATATCCAACCCGAGTACAGAAAACGTCACAGAGACCGGAAGTCTTAAATCTACCATAGACTATTAAACCAGGATACACCTCTTTTTTTTTTTTTTAAACAGTAGTGATTGCATTGGCTTGGCATTCAACACGATTCATTCTTAACATACATACGACTACGTAAGTGTGCGCGGATATAGATAGGTCATTAGTTTAATTAACTAATTGGAACATTATTTACTTCTTTCATATCAATCGAAATAAGTATGCAGTTGCGTTTGGTGGTCTGTTATAGGTATCGTTCATTCTTTCATAGCAAAATATCTGATACAAAAAACCATAACAATGTAACTAGTTCCCGATTCCATTTTAGAAATTATGATGCAATAAAGTTTCACTTGGCAAGTAGATAGACAAAGTAACTGATAACCAATCCCTAACTAATGAACACTAAAGTAAGGTTGGGCACCCACTATATTACCATAAACTTGAGGAAATGTTACTCATTTCTGCCTAATGAAGGAACTGCATTTCAAGATTAGCATGCAACAAGACTACATACAAGTTTGCATTTCTCTTCACTTATGCTCTGGTCTGAATGCATAGGTACCTAAATACTTATGTAACTACATAACCCTTCGATGCTTACTATTTATGAATGAAATGTTGCATACTGAAACTGAAAGAAGTAACATGAGTGGTTGTTAACATCCACGTTTCTATAAGTCCATAAGTAAAAGTATTTTTGTGTCTCTTACAGAAACTACGTTTATAAGACTATTGTAACAATGCCTTTTTCCATTTTTCCCTCATTCAAGGGTAATACATAATTAGAAATATGAGAAAAATAAAATCATATGGTTCTTCATAAAAAATTGTAACTTAATTTGAAGTTTGCATTTGAACTCGCTTCAAATTCTGTACTTTCTCAAGGGCGTCATCTATATTTTTTTCTTTTATAACTTCGGTAAGGAAGTCTATTCCCACATTTATAACTCAGAAGCAGGGGCTAGCCACTAGTGCTCACCGCACCGATGCAGAACCGAACCAAGGCGCAGCGTTTGCATTTCTCTTGACGGCTGCAATAGCAGACGCATTTCCATAGCCCTTTGGGGGCAGTTGCATAATCATGTGTAGGGTTGCCAGTCATCCTATTTTCCTACCCACTTAAGGTCCTGCCCGGCTAAGATTTATCGATTTTAGAAGATAAGCCCACTTGTCTAAAGACATCGATAAAATTTTATCGTAACATCTTACTAGCCCATTTTGTGTTTGCAATTAGTTGAACTTCATTAACTCCGTTTTCAGTGTGTATTACATGCCTATTCATAGTTTCCTGGTTTAAAGCCGAAATATCCTAATATTTCACAAAATTTTAATTATCTCCTTTATTATGAAGTCGGTTAAAAAGTTTTCTTTTTCTTTTGTACTAAGACATTATAATCTTTTTGTCACAAAGTTTACTTTTCAAGGATAAATAGTAACTAGGAAGATGCCTGTGAATACTGATAACCCGCATACTTTATCTACTTATTTTACTTGTTCTTTAAACGAAACTTGTGAATGAAACGTACGGTAAATAATGTGTTACTGCCTATACCTACCTACATTAAGGCTTTCTTTCTTCATACAGCTTACTTGATCTATCACTATAATGGTCTATTTTATTCTGTGTGACAAGATAACTAAAGCCTGGTCCGTGAGCACGTAGAATCCCGTCCAATGACCCCAAGCTACCCATCCTTATCGCTCGCGCGTAATTATATTGCTGTCGCGACTGTGCGACGCGCGCCCGCAGTGAGTGTGTGAGCGCGACAGCAACATAATTACGTGCGAGCGACAAGGATGGGTAGCTTGGGGTCATTGGACGGGATTCTACGTGCTCACGGACCAGGCTTTAGTCACCTTTGGTCTTATAAATGACTTCATTTGTTATTCTAAGGTGCTATAGAAACTCGATGGTAGAGACTAAGAACTATTTCAAATTGCGGAATAATTTTCCTACATTTTATCCTTCACTTCTCCAGTCACAAGATAGCAAAGATCTATCTCTGATAGTATCGTTACTCCACTGTTGACTCGCGTCATCAGCAAACAAGTCAAGGCGCAGGCGCACGATAACGCAGGACTCACGAGCCGTTCATTATCGCTCGTACCTATGTACTGAAATATGAAAAGAGCCGTCACGTCGCGGTCGGCTATTATTACTCGTGTAATTTTGTAATAATAGTCTATTTACGGAATAAATGTAGAGCTAATGGGAATTAACATAATTATCTCACTTGTTCCCAACGAGACCCAAAAGTGTAACACTGTTACTCGTTGGGAAAAAACTCATAACACACTCAAAGAAAGAAAAAGCGAAGAAGATTAGGACAAGAGGACATGACTAGGGTCAACTCCATCAGTTAATATTTTTTCTTATTCTACTGGACAAGCTGAAGCGTAGATGTTATAAAGAACTAGCTCGTCTAAGGCTGGTTTGCACCAACTTACTTCTATAACAACATCAAAAGTCTGTCATACTCCATAAAAAAACGGTCATGGTTGTCTCTCAACTCATGCTAAGAGAAGTCTATTTCATTTTGATGCTGATTTATAGAAATTGCGAAATAAATATTTGGATCTGCCATTGACAAGACACCTCCGCACCCGAAGAGCTAGTAAATAAGTGTGAGAATGCACGCCATATGCGAAAGTATTTTGTCGGCACATTCAAAATACATTTCAATTTGCATCGTAAGTGCTTCGCAACATGAATCTGGAGCCCGTAAATAGACGCAATTATTGGTTCACTGACATTGACCTTCCATGTTTGATCAAGATTTAAAAAAAAAACTCGATTTCACGTTTAATTTATGTACAAACTAGCTGACCCGGCGAACTTTGTTCCGCCTTAATGGCAATAAATAAGCAGACTTTTTTTTTATTTCGAACGGGATAAAAAGTATCCTATGTCCTTTTCCTGGCTCTAAACTACCTCCCTGTCAATTTTTAGCTAAATCGGTTCAGCCGTTCTTGAGTTATAAGTGGAGTAACTAACACGACTTTCTTTTATATATGTTACAGGAAATGTATGAAATCCGTCATTGTATACAATTCCTAGGAATTGTGTATAAGTCCTAAAATCACCCGGAAATGTGTGATGTAAATTATATTAGACACATTTACTAGGAAATTTACACATTTCCTAAACAGCAATCGGAAATGTAATTAAGATTTTAATAATTACCTACGCGTGGACATGCGGTGCGAGGGGAGGATATTGCATCATCCGATTACGCGGAGTCTCTATCGAATCGCCAAATTTTTTGTACGCCTATGGCACACAAATTTTTAGCCGAAAATTTTTTTACACAAAATTATTTTTATTACGCCACTTTTTTTTCTCCCGAAACTTAAATGGCGCTACCGCGCCGCAGCTGTGTATGTGTAAGGTCGCAAGTCTAACCTAACCTAACTGAGACTTTGTTATCCAGCTACAGCAGTACTAAAACCTTCATCTCAATAAAAGTTTAATAAAAGAGTTTTAAAATTAGGGATTTCCAATACTTCAGCGTAATATGCGTGATGCCGAAAGAAAGGTATGCCAATAAATTTTAGGCAAATATTTTTTTCGGCCAAAGTATAATAGTGCGAAAACAACTGTCAGGTTAAACAATAATAATTGTGAGTTAAAAGTACCTATCGGCCAATGTGGTTTGGCGAAATGAAATTTTAGGCGTACCGAGGGGCACCCGATCACGCGACCGCGCTTGTGGCGCTTAGTTTTATACATTTCCTAATACAATATTGGAATTCTATAAAATTCCTAGGAAAAGTTTACATTTCCTAGGATATGTGCGTATTAAAAAATCTCTGAAGCAATATTTTAAACATTTCCTAAATAGCTTCGGAATTGTATACATTTCCTAGGAATAGTATACAATTCCTGGAATTCATACATTTCCTGTAACATATATACAGTGTGAGTCACGTTAAAGTGTACATATGAAAATAAATGAAACTAGACCTATTTTTATCGACAAAAAAGAGGTCAAAAATTTTTTGAGATTTTTTTTAAATTTTTTATAGAATTTTTTTTCTTCCAATTACTTATTGTAAAGAAAACGTAATAACTTTTAAACTAAGCGGTATATCCTGATAAAATAAAAACAGTAATAATTCTAAATAACAGGTGATACTAAAAAAATACATAAAATACACAAAATAGGCCAACAAATAATAAAAAATGATACTTTTTGAAAAAAATCTGCTTTAAAAACCGTGTTTTTTTGGTTATTTGATGAATTTCTCCAAAAGATGCCCCTATAAGCGTTGGTTTTTATTACTTTATATTATTCTCTATCGTATTACCTTCGTAAAACCTAAAATTGCATGTCTCTATCCCTATCACAACGTTTGCAATGATCGTTTGAACTAAGCCTCTCCGGGCGCGCCATTCAACGCTTCGTTAACAACGAAACTGAAAATGGCTCTAGATTTGTAATTTTGATAAAGACAAGTTAGATTTCAAATAAAAACAAAAGATTTCGAAGAAAAATAAGCATTTTAGTTAAAATTAAAATTGTCTCTACCTGTAGCGGAGAATAATGTTGTGGCAGGCCTTTGTTCAAACGATCATAGCAAATGTTGTGATAGGGATAGAGACATGCGATTTTTGGTTTTACAAAGATTATACGATAGAAAATAATACAAAGTAATAAAAACCACCTACTATAGGGGCACTTTTTGGAGAAATTTATCAAATTACTAAAAAAACACGAATTTAAAAGCAGTT